CTAGGAAGAGTTAATCATTCATCAGAGTTCTCTATCAAGAAAGACAGTACTGGCTGGAAATTTGTGCTTTCAGCTGCCACTACAACTTAGTTTAAAATGTTTAAATAAGATATTATTTTAGGCAAATTAGACACATTAAAATTTGCAGAACTATCAGATAAAAAAAGGCTACATTCTCACACATTAATTTTTAAGGGAACTTTTATCAGTAGCATACAACAAACAGAGTGCATCATTTTGGGAGGCTCCAAGCAAAGAAATAAAACAGCAAGGATGGAAAGAGCTGTATATGTTTGGTTAGGCACACATGTGGGGGATCTCAAGGACAGTGTAACTCAGGATGTAGTTTACTAAGTGGAACTGTTAATTATGGTCAAGAACACGTCAAAATGTGCTCTAGACGGAAATATGCATTGGCAAAAGTTCATGGGACTGACATGTAGTTTTATTCAAAATAACAGAGAGGCACATTGGTTCCAAGGGGCTGCTGCTTTCTGAAATGAGTCTGTATAGCATAGCTCAGAAGAGTTATGGAGCTTGCTTTTTGGTTTGTCAAGACAGAGAGAATTAGGTAAGTACACAGAACTATTAAAGATACAGCACTGTTTGAAGTTTTCTGCCATTTGCTGATGTTTGGGCTAACTGTCACAGATGGAGTTATTTCCTATTTCTAGAAGAGTGCTACCATTAAATTGTATATGAAAAATCACTGCCAAATTTTCTGCAAGAGTTTCAGTGCCCTTGTTTTTTCCTCCCTTCTCTACTTTCTTCACAGAAACACAGAATTGCCAGGGTTGGAAGGGACCTCAAGGATCATGGATCTCCAACACCCCTGCCACATGCAGGGCCACCAACCATCCCACCTAATGCTAGACCAGGCTGCCCAGGGCCCCATCCAATCTGGCCTTGAACACCTCCAGGGACGGGGCATCCACAACCTTCCTTCACACACATGCAAGAACACAAAATGCAATTTAAGCAACAGTCTGTGCCTACTGACAACATAACTAAAACTCTTCTGCAGTTTATCTGAGAAAAAAATCTGAGAAAAAAAATCTCTTGTTTTTTCCTAGTGCCTTACAGCAATTCAGTCCCTCTGAATTCACTCTGAATCCATTCCTACTGGATCCTGGCCATCAGAAGGACTCAGCCGCTGTAAGGGACTGGTGCGGTTTATTTCCTCCAACAGACAGGCAGCAGGTTAAAGGAAAGCGGCCAACACAAGGCAAGGGAAGCCCCTTGCTGGCACTAACTGTGAACAGACCACCCAGCAACACATAAGCTGCCCCCTGCGAAGGCAGCAGCAGCAGAACTGGCTATGGTTAGTGTATGTGTTAATATCCAGACAAGTATCTAAAGGAAAACATCTATCATGAGGAAGAAGAAAGTACCAGAGAGGTAGGTGGACTTAAACAGACCCATATGGGAATACTGCCTGAATTAGGTGCTAGAGAGAGGCCTCTGGCACCAACTTGTTTGGCTGCAGTGATGTAGCTTGTGTTACCCAACAGAATATGATAGCTTAACACATAGCCATTGAAGACTATATGGAAATATGAAGACATGGACTAAAAACATGCTCGTGTCAGGTGCAGCAGTCCTCATGTAACTTTATAGGTTTTGACTTTTCAGACTGGGATCTGGCAGCCGCAGTTGACATGCAGGAATTCTCATCTCCTTGTACTCTTTCTTACATCACAATAAAAAACTGCATTTTATTTAGTACAAAATTTTTCACTCACACACAACATCAGCATTTTATTCTGTCATTTAATAGTCCATGGAATACATGGATCAAACTTGTATTTTCAGCATTTGCTTTAGTAGTTGCTCGTTATTTCTGCTGGACCTTTCATCAGTAACTTGCATAACACTTAAGAATTTTTTTGACTGTATTACCCCAAACCAAAACCAAGCCAAACATGCAGTTCCACAGCATGGACTATAACCTACCATAACTGATATTCTTTCACTTGTGTCTTCAATGTGACTCTCTGGAACACTTCTCTGCACATTTACAATGGCACTATGGAAAATAGAGCACAAATCCCAGAAGCAACAGATTAATATTTTACTGCTGGTCAGCTACACTGCAGTAACTGGTAACACACCTGTTCCCAGCACACCTCACAAAACAAAGTGCATTCTGCTTTGTACATGCACAACACTGAGATCCTAAATGAAGAGAAGTCGCAGCACTATCTTTTTTTGAAGAAAACCCACAGATGCCAACCACCCCTTTCCCTGGGTGGACAGCATGCAGAACATAAAGGGCTGTAACGTGACAGTCTGGGGCTGGAATGAAATCTCATCAACAAATATGTTAAATTTACTGTGTGTATTCCTAGTCAAAGCAACTCTTTGAAGCATAGCATTTTAAAAAGTTCTCTATGCAGTGCAATATCCAGAATGAGAGTGTGTGGTGACATGGAGATTGGAAGGAAGAGAACAAGCAACCTATAGTCCCAGTTTCAGGACTTTTTGGCTGGTTCTACACGTAAGTACAGCCCTGAAGGCTCCAAAGGACTTTTTCAGAAAGCAGACTGCAGAAGAGGTGATACTCATTAAGGAGATGATGCAGAAGCCACCAGAGGAGAAATATTCCATTATTCAGATCTACCAAAAGCAGTCTGTTGCTTCCCACTGGCACACTAACAAAAGCAGATTTGATATCCCACAAAATCATGGTTTATATCAATGTTAGATCATAATTCAGGCACTGTGAAAGAGCAAGGAAAAAGAAACACTAAAGATTTATACTATGCTAAATCAAGCAAAAAGAATGCCAGTACAGATGTTCCTTTTTAAAGTTACAGATAGCTTCAATTGGTTGCTTTACTTTAAAGTCTCCGCAAGCCAACAAACACTCCTTATAATATTTAAATTATTCAGTACTTCTTAATAAGATAAACAGGAAAACTAGAATATACCTTTTCACAGCTCATTTTGTTCTTTCTGCTATTACTATACATTTCCTTTCTGCTTGAATAGATCTCTCACTATTTAATAGGCTATTGATTTTGTTCAGGAAAGTTACAAGAGTTTCCATGCATTTTGTTAGTGGTTAAAAAAAAATGCACTGTGAAAGGATGGTTAAAAATTCATCTCTGGCAACTTAATACCCATAGCACTGAATTAACAAATCTGCAAGAATCATGCATTGCAACTCTTTGCTAATCCTTCTGAGTAGGTAGAATTAGCTACAGTTTTAATATGAAGAGAAGACATCTCACATCAAATAATGGGATCTTCCTCTGGAGACAAAGTTTAGGGTGTTTTTCATCCTACAGAGAACACTCTGTACGTGTTTCCACTACACCAAAAACTCAGTTCAACAAACCATCCAGTTTAATACAAGGAATCACAAAGTCACAGTGGTTGGAAGGGACCTCTGGAGATCATCTAGTTTAACCCCATGCTCAAGCAGGTTCCCCACAGCAGTTTGCACAGGAAAGTGTCCAGGTGGGTCTTCAATACTTCCAGAGAAGGAGACTGCACAACCTCTCTGGACAACCTGTTCCGATGCTCTGTCACTCACAATAAAGAAGTTCCTCCTCATGTTTGCCTCAAACTTACTGTGTTCCAGTTTCTGCTTGTTGCCCCTTTTTCTATTGCTGCATGCCACTGAAAACAGCCTTGACTCCCTCCCCTTGACTCCCGCCCTTTAGATATTTATAAACATATTTATAAGCATTGATGAGACCATCCCTCTCTTTTCTTCTCCAGGCAGAACAGCTCCAGCACTCTCAGCCTTTCCTCATAAGGGAGATGCTCCCTCATCATCTTTGTGGCCCTCTGCAGGACTCTCTCCAGCAGTTCCCTGTATTCTTTGAATTGGGGAGCCCAGAACTACACCCTGTGCTCTAGATGTAGCCTCACCAGGGAAGAGTAGAGCGGGAGGATCACTTCTTGACCTGCTAGCCTTGCTCTTTTTAATGCAACTCAGAATATCACTGGCCTTCTTGGCCACAAGATCACACTGCTAGTTCACGGTCAACGTGTTGTCCACCAGAACATCTAGGTCTTTCTTTGCAGAGCTCCTCTACAAGAGGTCAGCCCCTGCCTAGCCTGTACTGGTGCATACAGTTACTCCTCCCCATGTGCAATGCTCTACACTTCTCTTACTGAAATCTATCAAGTTGCTTTCTGCCCAACTCTCCAGTCTGTTCAGCTCTTGCTGAATGGCAGCACTGGCTTTTTCAGCCACTCTTCCCAGCTTTGAAACATTAGCAATCTTGCTGAAAGTGAACTTTATCCCTTCATTCAGGTAGATGTTGAAGATGACTGGACCCAGCATTGACCCCTGGGCAACACAACTAGTTACAAACCTCCAACCAGACTCTACACCATTGGTCATGACCCTCTGAATTCTATGAGTCAACCGGTTCTCAATTCACCTCACTGTCCCACTCATCTATCCCACATTTCCTACTCATCTTTACAAGGATGTTGTGGAAATTGGTGTCAAAAGATTTGCTGAGACAAGGGACGCATCTTCCCTCATTTAACAAAACTGTGATGACATCACAGAAGGCTATCAAAGTGGCTGAGCATAAATTCCCCTTGATGAATATATGTTGACTACTTCTGGTAACATTCTTTCTTTTCCAACTGCTTGGAGATGGCATCCAGAACAAGTTGCTCCAGAACCTTTCCAGGACAGAGGTGAGGCTTACTGGTCCGTAATTGCAAAGATAACAGAGAACAGTTCAGCAATCACTTCTGCCAGTTCTATCAGCACTTGGGTGTGAAACCCATTGGGGCATCAGTGGGCATTGATTTTGCCTAAACAATCTTTCACAAGCTCCTCAGCCAAGGGGAAGACATTCTTCCACCAGATTTTACCTGCCCTTCAGTTATAATAATCACATAATTGAAAATTAGGTTGTTTGATTTTGATTTTGTGGATATGTGTACCAACTAAAAATATGCAAGATATCTCTCTTTGTTTTTTTTCATTCAGAACTGTTTTTAATCCAAAAAGACAAAAAGCAGTGTTCTTCACAGACATATTTTTTACTATTTTTTCATAAGCTAGAGTCAAACATCACAAATAGATTAACAAATTTGCCAATAGGGCACGTAACTTCTGTAATTCAGTCTGATGTGACTCATTAGGAACAAAATTTTAAGTAATCAGTCAACAGTTAACAGAAAATGTCCTTCCACTTCTTCTAGCCAAGGAAAACTAAGAACATCACTTTTCTTCTCCCTTGCTCAAAAACAAATGTCACATGCATAAAACTGTACTAATTTAAGATACACACTTTTGATGTCATATGCAAGAATGCTTTTTCACAGAATCACAGAATATTTTGCATTGGAAGGGACCTATAGGGATTTCAAGTGGTATCTTTTAGCACAGAGTAAATGATGATATAAAAGCTAGCTAGGTAATACATGACCCTTCCAACTCCTGCAATTGTGTGATACTGTGAAATCAGTTAAGATGCTCTACTGTTACTATTCTTCGTGCTTATTTTATTTAATTAAGCTAGAAATAAGCGAACAAAACTTCTTGGATAAAACAAGAAGGCACCGCTCCTTGTCCATGCTCTTCTCATTAGACAAAGAAAGAAGTAAGCAAAAAAACCATATCTCTGGAGATATGAGAGAAAAGAAGGAGTTTCCTTCTAACTATAACTTGCCCTATTTTGTCTGCATGAAAAAAAAGATTTCCTCACAGAAAATAGGCTGACAGAAACTTCTGTGCCACATCTGCTAATGGAGACCAGCTATTGGCATTGTACATTGCAGAGAACGTTGTTCTGTGAAAGCTGCAGCAGTGTTAAATAATCATATAACAAACATGAAAGGAGCTTTATTTTGGAAATGTTTTCAAAAAGAATTAACAAGTTCAGGAAACACTGTTGATTTCCTGAGAACATGGAGTGCACTCACCATGAATCATTAACTCTCGCTTGAGATCATCATTAGCCACACAAAAGCAGAATTATAGAACAAAACATTTTAGAAACAACTTACCAACCAAACAATTGGATAAAATTGCTCATAAAGCCATGAGTAATTTGGGAGAAAAACTGGTCCACAGCCAGATAAACAAGGAGATGAGTAAACTGCTTTAAATGACATAGGTCTTTTGTAAAAGAGGGAGCTCAGAACAAAGTTTTAAACCCTCTTTAATTCTGTTTTGTCCTCACAGTTTACATTTCTAAACAGTGCAGGGGAAGAAAAAGTTACGGGATATCCTCAAGAAAGAGATTTTTCTTCTACCCTTGCTAATCTGCAGTGCAAGACTTTCATGAAAGGCAGACACCTGAATGAAGATCTAATTTATTGACTGGATAGAGACAACATTGAAAATCTAAACTTTCAATGCTAGTTTCTGAAGAAGTTCATTCAACAGCTTCACAGTCCTTTGGTTTTCTCCTCCATTATGTTTAATTCTGTATGCAGTACGGATAAGAAGGGTACAAACTTCCTTGCTCATGTCAGTTGTCTCAGTAATCTGAAGGAAAACAGAGAAGTGGGAAATAATGCAATTAATTTATTAAGTGCAAATTATTCTCTATTAATATTAGCAATATAACTGCAGATCTGTCCCTTAAAGCTGAACATGAGATGCTCTGAAAATAAAAGCTGAGCTCAAAAGAAAGTTTCATTTTGTCCAAGCAGTCTGTTTTGACATATCTTGGATGAACTTGGCATCTTTGAGACATCTGAGATTCTCTAAGACTAAAGGGAAATAAATCAAGATATCAAAAAGTTTTTGAACACAAATAGACAGACAGTGCAACCATTTAGGAGTTGTCTCCTTGGAAACCAACTGAAAGCATATTAAGTTCTTGATGGGTTTAAGGAGACAATTCAATTCTATAACACTTCAGAGAGTAAAAATATATCCCTCTGCTAGATGATGACAAAATACCACAGACAAACCCAAAGGCATAATTTTTGCAGATCTGGTGGTTAATCTCAAATTTTACTAAGCCAACCGAAGTCACTGCCATCCAGCACAATTTGGTGCTGTGCATGGTTTTGGGTACCTTAACAGAAGAAAAACATAAAGCTATCAGATTGTGTAAGTTAAATATAGGCATCCATTAGTTGCAAGATTCTGCATGGAGAATTTCTGCAGCTTTATTGTTAGGACAGAATATTTTTTCCAATGAGATCTTGTCAAGATGTGTCAAGAAGGAAAATAGTTAGACTGTAGCTGAAATACAAAACTGCTCCAAAAGTAGTGCCTCTTCTTTTATGTTGGTCACAATGGCAGAGGAGGATCTTGATATATTGCAATAGAGGTTGAACCTTCCAACCAATATTCGATTACATTTTGGTGCTGTGAAACAGATGGCAGCTGAGGGCGGCAGCCTGACATGGAAGTGTGTATGAAGCAAAGGTCTGTCACTGAATTCCTCCATATTAAAAACAATTCACCCTCTGACATTGACTGATGCTGAATGTTTATGGAAACCAAACAGTGATGCAGTGGGTGGTGCATCTCAGCAGTGGCAACAGTGACATGAAAGACAACCCACATTCTGTATAGTCATGCACAGCTATCATGTCATGAAATGAAGAGCATCTCAATCAGCCATCCATATGGGGGGGGGAAGGGAGAGAAGGGGAAAAAAAACAATCACCACTTACATGGGAAATAAATTCCTGTGCAATCATGTGTCCTCCAGAAGAAAAGAGTAAAAAGTTGGTAAGAAGATGTGTTACTAGACACTGGGTATGATATTGTTCTGTATCTGCTATATTGTTTACAGAAGCCTGCAGCTCTCCAAATGAAAGGACAGTACGGTTGTAGAACATCATTAGATGACTGTAGACTGCTCGAGATTCTACCTGTAAGGAACAATTTCAAAGCATGCAGGATCAGAGGAGAGTAAAGATCATCTATGGTATTTTTCCTACGGATTTATTCACTAATAGGAAAGGGAATATTTGGCAGAAATACTGAAACATTAAAAAGTCTGCATTTAGGCTGCAAGGCAAACAGGGAAGGAAGGGCAGTACACACATTTCTTTCATACTGACACATACAAATGTGGGCAGAATGGATTTGTTAACTTTCTTTAGTCTTGCAAACTAAGCAAGGAGGGCACAAAGCCAGGATTTGACCTTTTTTAATAATAAAAGGAAATAGAGAAAGCCCTCAGTTGAACATGTTCAGATTCTTGCATTGTGGGAAAAAGAACAGAGGATCCTCAAGGGCTCATTTCAGCATTGCTGCTGAAATCAATTGAATCCCCATGCAACCTGACCTCAACTGATAAAACGTTCTGGTAAGAATGCCATTTTTTTCCATCTTCCTGTGTTGCTTGCAAATTATGTTTTTACCTTTTGAGTTAGCCAATAAAAACTTATTTTTACTGGGTATAGAAAACAGAAGACTTTGGCTCTTACACAATATAAAAAGAATTAACATTAATTTTGCTCACTCTATCTAAACTAAAAAATTGATAAGTATGTAAATAAATAGATAAACACTTAACCTAAAACATGTAAGTGCAGGGACCAGGGAAAAAATATAGCACTGCAAACTCAAAAGGACAGCTATTTTTCAACCATGCTCAGAAAGACAACTTGTTTCAGTCAGTTACCTGACCTCATTTTTTCTCATCCCTTCTCCATTAACATAAATAGTCTGAAAAGGCTATAATAAAAAAGCAAGACCTATAAGCTTAGCATTAGCTGTAGGAATAGTCAAGTAGCCTAATCTGTGGAAAATAAGTTTTTTTCATTCTCAGTAACTCAAGAAAAGATCACACTGAACTATGTGTAACTGCATGGGATTTCAGTGGAAAAGCTTTCTTCTCACTGAAGTTTGTCATAAAATGATTGAGAATAACAAACTGATAGTATAAGGGACAAACAGGAAGGTTTTATACATGAGGCAATGTGATTTCATTCTGAGGTGCTGGAACTGAAAAATGCTGTGTATATATAGAGTTCAGCACTTACAAGGCCTTTGTCTTTATTCGGCCGTATTTACTGCTTAGGTACTGACTACTGTCCCAAAAGCATATTCTAAAACTCTGGTTTCTTTACTCCACTGTACCTCTAATCTAACCCAACCAGTATTCCACCTCTGCTCCTGCAGTATAAGAAATTAAAGAGAAAAAAATTTAAAAGTGACTGATATGTGAACTTGCATAGGTAGTAGGAGGAAGGAAGGAAACAAAATATTACAAAATGTGCTGGATAATTAGATGTAAAATGAAAGCATGATGTTTTACTAGTGTGATGTATTAAGCTGCATTTTTAAATCAAATCAGTTTTTGAACTAAGAAAAACTAGACACTACAGTCAGATTTTAAAACTGGGCTTACTAGATCAGATTGCTCAGGTTAGTTCAGACCTGCATAACAGGTTTCAGACTTCCATGCATTTACAGGCACACAGACACACACCAGTCTATGCAGTACAGGGTCTAAAGTTCTGACACTGCTTCATTCTGCTAGAGATTTAGCATGTGGGAATGTAATATATGTTATATATATATGCTCATTTTTGGCACATATATAAGATAAATCAGAGTAGATGGGTGAGGTTGGGATTCAGGGATTCTGTGATGATTATCTTCACTACTTCAACTGCTGCTGTGAATTGTCTCATTTTTCCTTCTCAGAAGAAGCCATCGCACAAGAGCGCAGAATTCTGTAACTCCCAGAGTAGTTTTATTTCTAATTTAAAGCATTAACGTTATTAAAAAAAAAGACAAAAAGGTTCTAATCTATATAATCTATATAAATCCCACTTTAAAAAGTGGGAAGAGTTTTTTAAATGTTACCAAGAAAATTCATAGAAATTAGTTTTCCACTTCTCCACTGCAATACAGATCCCAGGAGACCTTGCAAAACCAGTACCTTCTTCAGTGTAGAGCCTTCATTTTTCTGGTACGCTGGTTGCATACTATTTATTTTACAGATATTTAGATATAGATAGATATAGATATTTTATGAGATATTAGCAGATTACTGAGTGATTATTGCTGATTATTATTACACTACCCACCATTGTTTGAGTCCTTTGTTGGTTTTCATTCTCAGGACAGTAGTAAAAAGCCAACAGCCACAGCAAAGCATCTGGGGCTACAGCTCCTTTCATTAATTGTTCTGCTGCAATATCCAGCCATTCTCCAAAACAAGCAACCAAAAACCAGATTTCATAAAGGTCAGCAAAAGAGCTGGAAAATGAAAATTATGCACTTAAATATTTTATTAAACATTTTAAAATTTCTTAGGTTAACTGCAAAAAGCACTGACATGAAAATAAAGACAGCTTTAAGATAACCCTTTACCTGCTAAGCTGACTCATTTACCCTATTATCTGCAGACAGGTAAAAGAGGATACACTCAGTGCTATTATCATATTAATCCGTCCATAAAACAGAATATCACTAACACCAGTTTCCAATATATAGCAGTGACAAATGTTACGTATTAAAATATACACCATAAATTATTCTTACCTTATACTCCCCAGTCTAAGGACTACCAAAACTTTAAATCACAATTTAAATACTACATTCTAAAGTACCGTTGTCTTATTTTGGTTTTCAATTTTTCTGTCTTGTTTACACAGCAAACATTTTTGGTAGTTTATGAGGAAGTACATTTAGGTAAAGTAAGAATAAAGTTTTTAAGGATATTCATATCCTGACTTAAAATTCAGTTTCTCTTTAATGAAGATTTGGATGATACTTACAATCTGGGCTATTGCAAAGGAAAAGAAAGAGCTGAGTGGGCCACAGCTTATCTCTACAGTCTCTCACATAATCATCTAAAGCAAAGTTAGATCATTTTCATCACAATTGATCCAACTAACAAAAAGAGACAGAAGGGAGTGACACAAACCAAAGGTGGGCTTCCCGTAATCAAAAAGTTAAACAGAGCATGGAAGAAAGAATAGCGAGCTGTAATCAGCTGTACAGAGTCTAGTTGGAGGCCTGTAGCAAGCTGTACTGGGTCTGGTCTTATTCAACATTTACATCAATGATATGCACGAAGGCATAGAGTACATGCTGCTGCCTTTCAGTAAGACCTGAACAGATGGGAGGGTTGAGCAGAGAGGAACTTGATAGGTTTCAACAAGAGCAGATGTAGAGTCCACAAAGATGATGAGGAGCCTGGAGCATCTCCCTTATGAGGGAAGGCTGAGAGAGCTGGGGCTGTTCTGCCTGGAAAGGAAAAGAGACGGATGGTCTCATCAATGCTTATAAATATGTTTGTAAATATCTAAAGGGCAGGAGTCAAAAAGAGGGAGTCCAGGCTCTTTTCTGTTGTGTGCAGCAACAGAACAAGGGGCAACAAGAAACTGGAACACAGTAAGTTTCAGGCAAACATGAGGAAGAACTTCTTTACTGTGAGAGTGACAGAAAACTGGAACAGGTTGTCCAGAGAGGTTGTAGAGTCTCCTTCTCTGCAGATACTCAATACCTGTCTAGACACTTTCCTGTGTAACCCACTGTAAGGATCCTGCTTGAGCAGAGGGTTGGGCTAGATGATCTCCAGAGGCCGTTTTCAACCCCTACGATTCTCTGATTCTGTGACAGACAGAAGGATAACTGAAAGGAGATCAAGAACCAGGAACAAATAGTCCTAATAAGTCAGGGAAAATGTTTAAGAATCATATCATCATATTCCTAGGGATACCCAGTGCTGCAGTAACACCTTTCTCAGGAAATTTCAAAATGTTTTAGAAATTTCTAGAGTTAATGAATTTGTCTGATACTAGTATATCACCTGGAGAATGTGACAAAATGATAGTTGGAATAAACTGTTTTATCAATGAACCATTGGCGATGGGTGAATGGTTGGACTGGATGATCCTGTGGGTCTTTTCCAACCTTAGTGATTCTATGATTCTATGATTTTCTAAACAGGTGCGATGTCCTGTTTTATGACTGGACTTGAAGTGCACAGATAATATGTCTAGTCTATGTCTAGACTATGTCTATGTGTAGTTTATATTGTTGACTCATGTTGTTTATGGGTAACACAGAACTTACTGACTCTGTAAATGATACTGTCTTTGTGTCACAGAATCTCAGAGTGTCAAAATCCAATTCTTAGGACACAAATCTACTGCATTATTATTTTCTGATAAACTTGACCACAGACATCATATATAAGAGGTTGATATAAAATTGGCAGAAAAACTGAGTTAACTGATACAGACGACACCATTGTCAATATTCTATAACTTTTGGAGAGTGGCAGCATGTCCCTGACTGCAAAGACTAAGCAGAAGATCTATGACAAAATATGAGACTAAAATTCCTTAGATAAGGGAACAGGATCAGCACTGCTAAAGTCTTTGAAGTTATGAGAATCTGCAAATGCAACATAGAAACGTTTGAAAAATAAAACAAAACCTAGATAGTGATCTAGGACAACAATCTTTCATATAGCAAAATAAACTACTTATCTGACCATAATTGAATGTTGTGACAATGTAAGTGGATAGGTTAGGTCTGAAACCCAATCAAACGAAAAAAAATTAATTAAAAGAGAATTACTGCGAGACAATTATGGGTAATACTGGCAGTATTATAACTGGAAGCATTCATAGCTCAAACAGTAAATATATGTCCTTGTACATATGTAATACACTGTTTTTAACAGGTACTAAGCAGAACATAATCTTATTTTTTCCTAGATAATTTAGACACCAGTAAGCATACAACTCACCATGACTTTTCTGTACCATGACAGTGGCTGGTCTAGAGTCATGTAACTTCCACTTTTGTCCATATTACAATTTCTGCCCATTCTGTAGTGGCAACCATGTCAACCACTCTATTGTGGATCAATTCCCACAATAGAGTTTTTCTGGGACTTTTTCTGGGACGTTATTTTCTCCCAACTTTATGTAAGTTCATTTTGTTTTAAAATATCACATAATGTTGATAGTTTATTGAGATGACTAAAGATAACTAAAAATAATTGAACATAGAATCATAGAATTGCTCACGTTGGAAAAGACCTTCAAGATCATCAAGCCCAACCACAACCTAACCATAATACTCTAACAACCCATCTCTACATCATGTCCCTAAAAATGAAGCAATCTGTTCATTAGAAGAGGAAAGAAAGATTTTTGCTGTAAGACTTAGTATTTGGTGAAAAACAAAATCACTGGAAAATGAGAGCACCTTACAAAACAGAGAGTAGTGACTATGAGACAAAAGGATATGCTGTGCAGTAGTTATTTTTGCTCCTCTGTTAATCTTATTAAGTAGAAAGGATATAGAATCAGGAATAAAGCAATAAATGAAAATTAAATACAGTTCCTTGTTGATATTAGTGCTTAAGAATTAAGGTCAGATCTGTTTTCTTGCCAGCTGAATGGGATTTTGGAGAAAAAAATAATTGTTGCATGAATTCTAAAGGAAGTAAGAAGATATTCTGGCAAGTACAATACTATTCAAACTCATATTAATTAACAGGGCATAGGAGATGAAAAGACAACATAAGTCAATAATGGGCTAGGGAACAAAGGAAAAGAGAAATGCTTCTTTTACTGTAATACGCTATGACAAATATTATTTTATTTGTTCTGAGTTACATATTTTTAAGAAACCGGGGTCAGCTACTGGTCAATTTCAAGGACAAAAACGTTTGACAGACTTCAAGCGGAACAGATAAGACACAGCATTGAGCAGAAAGCACAGAAAGCAAGAAACAAGCACCGGACAGACAGGCCTCAGAGAGAGCAGCAAAAAGGTGTGTTTTTTTTTTGACAACAAAAAAAATAAAAGCCTTCACACATTGACTGAAACAAAGTGTGGATTCAAGGATCTGCCTTTCAGAATCTATATGACCCAGGTGTTGTATGTTTCTATTAAGATACTTCATTTTTAAAATCAAAACAAAACTGGTTCCTGGAAATTTAAAAGCTGTTTACTATTCTTTTAGAATGCTCTCTCTTGAACCAGATCTATATCATTTTTTCATTCTTTCCATATAGTTTTGGAATATCTACTACCAAAGCAGAATTCACCTAAACAAGCACAATCATTCATTACAGTAACTATTTAGAAAACAAGCAAACACCAGAGGGCAACAGGTCAGAAACATGGGGTGTCAGCTCAAAGAGCAATATAACAAACACTGAAATATCTTCATGAATAAAATTAGAAAGTTTGAATGTTCGTACAAGCCTTCAGAAATTCAGTACAACCTCATACATAAAATAGGCCATATCCAAAAGGCTCTTTCCAAAACTAGCTGCTTTGTCAGTGGAAGTGTTCTCCTGTTCCACCAAAAAACATGGGGAAATGTCCTATCAGCTTTCCAGCCAATATTCTCATCTCCGTCTCCTTCAGCTCATAATACGGCCTCTGTCTTTCCCCCTGATGATCCTTTCCATGCATATTTTCACAGTACTTCTTCAGGACTTAACTCGTGATGCTTTAGTGAGCCAAAACTGGCTCCTTTTAAGTGTCTTTAGGATACTGCAACCTTAAGACAAAGAACAGGTAATAGCATTGCTAAAGAAAAGTTCTGGTTGATAACTTTGTATTGTACCCACTCTGGACATGACAATGTGCTTTTCAAAGTTCTGGTTAAACAGAGTTGAAATGCAATCCTGAATCAGTTTTAAATTTTAATGGGAGAAATGGCAGAGTAGGTAGGTAAGTATTTCTGTTACAGCTAGCTGTTTGCTGAAATTTAAGGATTTTAAGAAATGTATTTTTTTTTACTCAGGGCATATTGGCCAGGTGTATAGATGCTACAAAGTTCTTGTTCAGTAAGTAACGCAAGTGCTAGACTTTAAAACAAAGCTAAATTTAACAGAAGAATATAGACTTGATGAAATGTGGTCGTTTCAGATGACTTCAGATGACATGACTTTTCACAAAAAGTAACACATTCAAATGACAAAAAGCTAGAAATACTGCTTACCTAATGTTTGTATCTTCTACTATAGACTTGAGCATATCCGAAATGTGTTTCAAATGCTGCAGCCAGTGTGTAGATGGCAATTCTGAGGAGGGAGAATGAAAATAAAAGTCTTAGAAGATGGCTTTTCACTTTTTATTTTGAAAAGTTTCTGTCCAGCTAGAAAAGAACAATAAAATTGAACACACTAAGATACAATAAAGCTTTTGGCTTTATTTTGATTCAATTATCATCAAGGAATTAAAATTTCCTCTTAAAATTTTCCAGTTTTCAATAATAACTGTTTCTGTGGTTCTTAGAACAATTCATTGACAGAGCCATTTGAGAAATTACACGTAGGGATACTCTTTGAATAAGGCTGATGTATCCTTGTGTAAATTCTACCTCAATATTAACAGATTGTGAGTGGAGCAGAAGTGATTGCTCATGAAAAACTGCACAACACTGAGTAGTGTTTTGTGATCTATCTAAATGGAAAATCTAAAAAAAAAAAAAAAAAGAAAAAAGAAAAAGAAAGTTAGGTTTGCAGAATTAAGCTTCTCCTATTCAGAGACAAACAACAAGGCAATACAGAATTTTTGTACATATATGGCATATAATCACAATTAATGGTATTACATTTAGTATGCCTTGACTTTTTCATATCCTGTCTTAATTCCTAATATCATAGTTTTAACACAAAAGTAATGCATTCTTTCTTTGTTATTCTCTTCTGGTTTTCTTTAAAGCTATATCTGTGTTATAGTCACGTAATAATTAGATGTTTCTAATAATAATTAAATTATTAAATATAAATATAAATTAAATTAAATAATTAAATAATTACATTAAGAAATGCAATAAAAGGACATTATTTAAATTGCTACACCAAAACACCCAGTTTAGGAAGTGGCAAAATTTAGACTTTTAGTTCTTTTTAAAGTTATTTTAACACGTATAAAGACAATGTAAGTTAGATAATGCTGCAAATATGTCCTGAAGAAACTTACCAAAAGGGCGTCTGAGTAAAGCTATTACAAGAGGCTGCTGGTGGTGAGGGAAGTAGGCCTTCAGAGGAAATTTATGCTAAGATAAAAAATTATTATTTTAAAAGCTTTCTGGTCAGATTTCAAAACAAAGCCCATAGCAAACAATCTCATCCAACAGAGTAACCAGCACACAGTCTGAAGCAAGAGAACAGAAGTAATTTTAAGATTTTATACAAAGAAGAAAGGGAGATACCTATGAAAAACTTGACTGTTAAAAATTATTTATGGATTGCTTATAGATTTGGTTTTTTTTTAAATACGTGCATTAAAATGACTTAAGAGTGTGAATAAAATTACACCTTAATATTAAGATATTAAGATATAGCCTAATATCATTAATAGGCTTTTTCTTGTAATCATGAATGTCTTCATTCTTAATATACAAAGGCCAAAATAGATACTAGTTCAGTTTCATTTTTGACTGTAAACAGGCTCATGGGCCATACCAAACTACAGATTAGTAACATCAACAACTTATAAGAGTGTAATGTAGATTATTGCTTTTTTAAAAATGGAAAAGTAAAATTCTTAGGATGTGACTCAGCACAAGGTAGGGTCGTCACAGATAACAAACCAGTCCTCTATTTATCTGTGTGTTTGCAATTCAGATGCTGAGCACATAGCTACTTGTGTAATCATTAGATTAATAGCAGCATACCTTTAATCTTTTTGTTCTGTAAGCATCTACTATGGGCATGTCCAAGGTACAGCATGAATGTGCAAGTAGAGTATGAACTCCATGTGAGGTGGATTGAAACCTGGCTGAACACGCAGGCCTAGAGGGTGATGATGACTGTCACATCAAGCTGGAGACCAAAATCAGCAGTGTACCCTAGGGGTCTGTACTAGGTTTGATCCAGTTTAACACCTTCATTAACAATCTGAATGATGGGGCAGTGTGCAACAGCAGGTTTATTTGATGACACAAAAGTGGGAGTAGTCATGGATACACGAGGGGGTCACGCTGCCATCCAGAGTCTGGAGAACAGGAACCACAAGAAGTTCATCAAGAAAAGGTGCAAAGTCCTGTCAACTTAGAGAGGAACAATTTGAGGCACCAGGACATGCTGGGAGCCACCCAGGTAGAAAGCAGCTCTACAAAGAAGGATCCAGGGTTCCAGTGAACACCAAGTTGAACATTAGTTGACTGGGTGTCCTCATCGCTATGAAGGGTAATGCTATTCTTGGCTGCACTAGGCAAAGTACTGCCAGCAGGCCAAAAGAGATAATCCTCACACTCAGCATTGCTGAAGCTGCACTTGGAGCACAGTGTCCAGTACTGGGCCACACAGTACAAGAGAGACCTGGAGATACTGGAACAGTATCAAGGGATTGGAGGAGATTGATCATCGTTGAGAAGAGAACACTCAGGAAATCTTACAATCATAAAAATATATTGAGTTGGAAGGGACCCACAAGGATCATTAAGTCTAACTTCTGGTTTCACACAGCATCACCCAAAATTCAAACAATATATCTGAAGGAGGTGTCCAAATGTTTCTTGAACTCCATCAGCCTGGGGCTGTGCCCACCACCTGTGGTGCAGAACCTGTCCCTAACACCAGCTGCCCTCCCCTGACACAGCTCCATGCCGTTCCCTCGGGCCTGTCGCTGTCACACAGAGCAGAGCTCAGCGCCGCCCCTCCGCTCCCTGTGAGGAGCTGCAGCCGCCATCAGGCCTCCCCTCAGCCTGCCCTGCTCTGGGCTGAACGCACCCAGGGACCTCAGCTGCTCCTCACACACCTTGCCCTCAATCTCTTCACCATCTTCACAGTCCTCCTTTGGACACTCTGCAGTTTTATGTCCCTTTTCTGATGTGACACACAAAGCTGCACCCAGTGCTGGAGGTGAGCCACAAAGCACAGCAGAGCGGTACAATCTCTCCCCTCACCCGCTGGCAATGCTGGGCCCGGTGCATTCCAGGGTACAGTTGGCCCTTTGAGCTGCCAGGGCACACTGCCGGCTCAGATTCAACTTTATCAATGTCTACAAACACCTGGCAGGAGGCCGCAAAGAAATAACAGGGTAAGAGGCAATGGGCACAAACTGGAACGCAAGTGGGTCTGAACATTAAGAAACACTTTGTCACTACAGAAGTCTTTGGAGATATTATAAGCAGTTTGGACATGATCTTGCACAAACCTGCTCTAGGTGGCCCTGTATTAACCAGGGTTTTGGTCCAGATGACTTCTGGAGGTCCCTTCTAACTTCCAGCTATTTCATGATTCAAGAACTGTATCCTTCCTTTTGGAGTAAGAGAATAGCCAGTAAAACAGATCAACTCTTGAAACATAGAGTAGGAATACGGACTATAGAATGTGACATCCTTCTAAACTCAGTGAAGACCACTTTCAGTTTGGGCAAACATACCTGATGTGTGAAATTCATGTGTGTACCTTAAAAATAAATAGAATGACACATTCCCTCTCTACTCATTTTCTTGTTCTGTAAACAATAATTAATTGAAATTATAGCACAGTAATATACACAGTAATCTTAGCCAGTGTATCACCAATATAAGGTAAGGCTAGAAGTCTACTTATCAGGTAGAACTAGGTTAATTAAAAATTAATAATCCCTACATTAAAGTATGCATGCAGTCGATTAGCTTGAATCAAAAATCCCCTTGAAAAAGCAGCCTTTGACACAGTTATTAGTAGCCAAGACAACTCACAGCATAAGTTGCATATGAAACTTATGAAAGTATTGTAAAGCATGTGAAAATCAGTTTCAGCATACGGCTTAAGCAAAGAAAAACATTTTTGCTTCCTATAATATATACACAGTAGCTTAGGTGGATCTTTTCTTGCATAAACCATCACAAATTGCTGAACAAGGTACCAAGGGACAGAACTTAGAATCATAAAATCACAGAATTGCTCAGGTTGGAAAAAACCTTCAAAATCATCAAATCCAACAGCAATCAAACCATACTGCCTTAACTAACAACCCAAACTTGTTTGGATGTGGCTGATTATACAAACTGCCGTGATGTAAAACAGGAGATAAAAGTTGAAGACTGACATAAAATTTTTATCTAGCTAGCTAAAACAACATTCCGAGGCAAAAACCACTTACAGTCCTAATGGAAAACAACCCTGGAAAAAAAATGTTTCCATTAAATAAAAACATGAGCTTTAAGTTCATAAATTTATAACTAACCTGACCCAAAATCTTTAAGCCAGCCCTTGCTACCATCACAAACTTCAAGGAAATCTGCTTCTACAAAGCACGAAGAGGATCATCCCAACAGTGGGTCCCAGTACAGTCTACAAAGTTTTTAGAAAAAACAGCAAGTTCTGACAGTGCCACATAGGAAAAGGGGATCATTCTCCTGCTATCTTCTAAACCTGTGCAGCTGTCAGAATGACTTGGTTCTTCAAAGCATTCTTTTTGGACAATTCTATTCACATAGCCTTTTTTCAATTAAGTGTACTCAAAATGCTTAGGACTTCAGATGACCTAGCCACAATCCTAGCCACAATCTTCTTCATCCTCTGTCATTAACAGTTTTACCATTCTCCAAGGAAAAGTAAGGGAGGAAATTATGTCATTGACAGACATCCAGAAAAGAGGATGGACAGAGATGGGTACCTTATGTATACATGTAACATTAGTAAGACAAAAAATACAGACTGATTTAAATCAAGTTTAGGAAGTAATCTGCCTGCGTGTTTTGCCAACTATAAGTTTACAGTTAATTCAGAAACTGTGAAACAAGGGATTTTAAATTCTAATACTGAAGAAAGCATCTTAACTAAAGCCTCATAAATTAAACTGTATAAGATTCAAATAGAGAAAACATTTAAGACCACTTTCAGAGAAATAGGCAATATCCCACATTGTAATGTCAGTAGATGAAGAACTTTTCACCATGGAGCAAGCAGATCACCTGCACAACAGAATTAGCCCTTGGGTGTCTGGTGGGTGTGGGATCTTTACTTGTTTTCTCCACCGAGTCACCCATGCCTGAGGCTACACAATGTGCTGCTGCCAAATGCAACCAGGGTGGCATAAAATTAACATATACAGCACCTACATATTAAGCAAGACAGCTGCAGTTTCATCCTTAAGTCATATTGCCTGAAGATAGAAGATGATAGATTCAGTCACGATGGTTATTAAAGGTCAGTACACCACATGTTCCCACATGAAGGTCCCGAATTTTCGTAACTACCATCTCCCAAAGAAGTTGCAAAACTCAAAGGAATGGAAAATTTCCTTAAGTCTAAAACAAAAACTATTAAATGATAATTTCCAAACTTACAACATAGGCATTGGAGTTAAAAGCAAACAAAGGAGACAACACGATTAGCACATGAAGTGACAGTGAAATCTAAGAAACTAACAAGAAGTTTGTTATCTATATACAGAACAAAACCCTTTTGTATCTTTCATTTTAAATTTTAAAAGTGAGAAGCTGAACCTGTTGTTGGTATGTCATACATACAAAAAATAATCTACTTAATTCAGTTCAGTATGAACAATGTAAAAGCCTGTGCAAAAGAAAAGATGGTAAGCTCAGAAATTTGAGGCTTTAAGCTGAGGAAACTTTTCTGAGTAGCCACTATTGAAGGCCAGAAATTGGATGGGGAGGCAAAGAGTAGACAACAGAGCAGGCTGGAGATAGGGTTGGGGTTATTACATCTGTTCAGTTTATTCTCAAGAACTCTGCTACTGCAAAAGAAAAGCTCTAAAGTTTTTTGCCTTTTCCGTCAGAGATGTATGAGAAAAAACATACAAGCACATTGTAACAATTTAAGTGCCCCTGAGAAAACTATAGTTTAGGTTGTAAAATTATTCCAAGATAAATTCAGGTAAATTTCTCTGGTATACTGGTTTCATACTGTATTTCTATTTACAGGTAAAAATGTCTGAACTGAAATTTGGCATATATGTACAATCATGGGAGGACAGTACTATTAAACTCATTATATTCAGTGACTGTTCTTATCAGTAGAATTGTTGTTTTCTTGCAAAATGTTGTATCTGCTCACTGAAAAGAAACATTAAGAAGATCTTGACTAACCTGCTTGTTTTCATTCTGCTGAACCTGAATGAAGAGCTGCATAAATACTTGTATTATGGTCATAACTTCAGGAGCTCCATCAGTTTCCAACAGCACATTCCTGAGATTGAAAAATTAGATTATGACAGATTAGATAATTTACCTGCCAACTATAGCAACATTAATGAAAGTAAGAAAAAAAGTTACATTCTTTCCATGCTCTAGCTTCAACCTGTGCCTGAGCTCATCACATTAATTATGCCAGAAGTACCAAGCCTACGATGAGTTTTGTTCTTTTTTAAAAGAAATTATATGCAACCTCTACAAATACTCTGGATTTATTATGTATACACAGTATACAAACAGATGCATATAATTTACACTAAGAATAAATGAAAAAGGATAAAATTAAAAATCAGACTATCACAACATTCTTAGGTAAAACTGGTATCAGAACAGTTGGCTGAATGCAAATACTCCCACATCTACAACTAAGCATATGTAAGTGCTTTGATGGAAGGCATTCACAGCCATATCAGAGTGAAATTATAATCTCCTGGAACATTCTACCTTGAGCATAAAGTACACGTACGTATGTCCTGTCTTAAATTGGTAAGTAGTGCACTCTTAATGTAGTCAGGGAAAAGAAGAAAAAAAGTTGTTGATCAAATATAAAAGTTCCATAGAAAAAAAATTACAGAAGGAGATCAAATTTTAAAATTAAATAATACAGATGCCAGTCAATCACTGTGACTCCTTAGAATGCCATCAATAAATCAGCACAAACAGAAATAACTACGTACCAAAGGCATACTAGATCCATAATTACTGCAGATTTCATTACAGATTGATGCATTCCAAAGTGCTTTCATTGGTGAAATCATTAAATTTATTCTGGAGGTTCAGGTAGGTGAATGCTTTAACTGGCCCTTCCATAAGGCATAATGCAACCAATTCACAAGTGGAAGACAAAACTAGATGGGCAGCCTAGAGCAATTTTCATTCTCATCTTTGAACAATGTGGAAAGGCAAGGAAAAAAGTTCAAAGTAAGCCGCCACTGAGATATCATAGGGTTGGGTATTTTTTGTTAGATTTATTTTTTTCCATAATGATCAAAAGATGACACTACTGACAAAGGATTACTCTACTGTAATTCAGAAATTTCATAAAACTGTGGGCAATTTAAATATAAGAATATAATTTAAATATAAGAAATAGTGCACAAACTCAAGCTAGGTGTATGGAATGGACTATAAAGCTGTACAGAACAAAATGTGCTTCTACTTGGGGGAAAAAAATGGGAAAACAAGTTAATATTTATGAGATAAAACAATTTAGCACAGTCAGGTAAAGAACAGGAAAACTACTAAGGAAAGAGATGTAAGTTTTAGATACATGTTTCTAAAAGAGTTTTAGGCCCACTCCTGGCCTGCTCTGCCCTCAGCCCTCACTCACCTCCATACCTTCCAATAAAATAAATTTTATTCCAGATGTGGATGCACAATACAATCTCCAAGCAGTACAATACAAGTCGTTTTTCAAGAGCTTTCTAAATTCCTAGACGTGACTACATCTGGAGCAGTGTGCTCATTCCTAGGTACCACTTGGTAAAAGTTGGAGGGATAGCAGAGGAAAAAAAATGAACACAAATTACAGAAACAAATGGCTCTCCAAAAAGCCTGAAGAAATTTTATCTCCCTGTACCATAGAGTTCAACCTATGATATTTGATGTCTGTTGCAGTTACAACAATTTTAAAGTGCACTTTTCTTTTGTAAAGTGACTGGTTCTCAACTACTCAGAAAATGCCAACACTGGAACACAGCAATGGAAAGGAATGCTACAGGAATAGCTGTCAAATGATTCTGCTCCACAGAAAAGCAAATTACAGTTTCTAAATGAAAATGAGCATGCACAGGCATACAAATGTCCATAAATGCATACACCTGGAAGCCATTTTTTCTTACAAAGGAAAACACTCCAGCAAAATTATGAGTTTCTTCTTAGATTTGATACAACAATAATGCATCTCAGGCTGATTACCATAGCAGCAGACAGTCTTTAAAAGAATGGTAAAATAATAAGAAATACAAGCAAAGGGAAAACTCCACTGAAACTACAAAGGATTGGAAGCCCCCATGTGGTGAACAACATATATAGCTTCAAAATAACATGACACATTCAAACATGAACTCATTGAACAGGCAGGTCAGTAATTTAGTGCAAATAAGAGCATATCTGATCTAAATCCTGAGGATTATTAACATAATAAAAAAAGGCCACGCTGGTAAGCACAAACATTACAGCTACACTGCATGTGCATGCTAGCATGAGCCAAGCTATTACAGATTGCTTATAGCTTTCATATCAAAATAGTATTTCAACCATGCGTCTCTACTAAATTGGAAAATCACTTCGAACTTCTAAAGGTAAAATACAGCGTAGTCAATTTTATCAATAATTATTATATTCTATATTTCAAATAACGTTCTCAGGACTTTTAACATTTACTATTATTTGCAGTATATTACACAGAGGGGTACCCTGAGGCACTCAGCTACAGAGTATGACACCCAGAAATTATAATGCTACATATTTGCATGAAAAAAAACCTAGTGTATGCTTCCCACTATAATTTCAAAACTTACTTGAAGATTTCATTAACAATTCTAAAAATGGCAGGGTGGCTTGCAGCTTGTATCTGTTCGTAAACAAATGGAAGGAAATTAGTCATTAAGAAGCAGCAACTCAAACAACTGTCACTACATATTTTATGGCCTAACTCATGGATAAAAATATGCTGCAATTAATAAACTGTAAATCTCAAATCAACTCTATCAGATTTTCTCAAGATCAGATTTTTCAAAATCACAGGTGGGGAGCCACAATGAAACTAAGCAGGCCGAGCAGAAAACAAGCACAACACCTGAGCTACAAACTGTTTATGACAACAAGCACTAAAAATAGGAAGAGTAGTAGAAAAACCAAAAGAGGCTATTGCATGTAATTGCTGGAGGCAAGAGACACAGATAGGTTTACAAAAAGCTTTCCTCTTGCCTTTACAGACAATCCCTTTTGGGTATGCTTAAAGGTTCTTGGTACACCTTCAGAAATAAATTCCAGAAATTAAATTTATCTCCTTGTCTTTAACACTGCCACATGTATTTTGGTTTAAGACATTTTTTTCAGCTACTATACTCTTCTGTGAATTGCAGAGTTGCTAAGGTAATTATCTCAGTATATGAAATTGTATATATTTTTTAAAATTAGAGAAGCTTTTTGTATTCGTGGTACTATGACACAAAAGACTGTTTAAAGAAAGTTATTTTAAACATGCACTTGTAAACACACTACTTTCTAATCCCGTATTCCTGAATTCTAAGATTTAAGCAGAGCACCAAGATTAAGTAACTATTTATACACATCGCTTACGTTAAAAACAAAACAAAGCATAAGAACAAGTAAATGCTTCATGTTTCTGAAATTAGCACTGAAAGATCTGATGAGAACATAATTCCTGAACAATTTGGAATGATGCATGTCTAACAGAAAGCATTTTATAGACTTCAGAATATGTGGAAGGAACAGTGTTTACACATCTTTATTGTTAACAGGTCTAAGTGTCTGAAGCACCATCCCAAAGATGGTCTGCATCTGTTTCAAGCTAAGAAGTATAAGAATTTTCTATTTAATTACACATAGGCAGAATGAGGACTTTTATCTGAGATAATAATCTCAGAAATTAAGAGACAAAGTCTAATAGAAACTACTTAGAAGACGTCTTAAAAGAACAGCTTTTTTTTCATGGCTGTCTTAGCGCACTGTAAATACTAGAGGGCATCTTGTTTTCATGTTTTACCTTACTTTCTCTCTGTGACCTGGCTGTAGCTAAATTGTCCCTTGAACATGTGCCATCTAGTGTTCGAGAGTATTTACAGCTTACACGGGATAAACAGCAGGCAGCTGGTGACAAGGCTGGACTGAAAAATACCACTGTGTTAGAGGAAAACCTGGACCAGACAACTTCCATAGGTCCTTTCCAATTTCTAACACTTTCTGGAAACAGTGGGGAGTGAAAACAATTTTCTACCAGTCCTGGGGGTTAAATTCAGTTAGTTCTTTGCTGTCTTTTCAGATATTCTGTCTTTAACACACAAAGCCACTGTTGCCTAAAACTGATCAACCAACCACGCATATCAAGATCAAACCACAGTTCTTCAGAAGGAGACCAAAATAAAAGTGTTTAATGGAACAACAAAACGATTTTCATCCTTTCCTCCCATACGGCAGCAATCAACAATAATCACTACGAGAAAACACTATCAATAGGTTCTTCTACTGTTCCTATACACGAACACTACTGAAATAAAGGATTTCATCACTGGAATTTGAAAACAAAAGAAAAGTGGCCTCATATCACAAGATTTTGATTGATGCACTCCATGCAATTTACTTGAAAGTACTCAAAATAAAAATATTATCATAGTATAACAGTCTCCAAGGCAGCGTGAAGCTGTGCCTTTGTGTAGCATGCCTTGCTATAGAAGACAGCAGGGAGAAATTCTTGAGTTTGGGAATGTTTCTCAGAGGGCTTCCAGGTTTTTAACAATCTCTTTTCTTCTTTTTTTTCCTTCTATTTTTCCCCCTCAAATAACAGTTCATTATAATTCAATAATCCCATCTGTGACAATGCTTTTTTTTTCAGAAAAAGTTCAGAAAAACTAGCCTCTACTGAGAGCTTGTTCCACCTCTTTTCAAGTACACATATTTCATACAACACAACAATTCAAAAAATCCAAACATAGGGAAATGGAACTGCATGTTTGAGCACTTCAGAAAACCACCTCACTCGAAAACAATGTGATTTTTAAAAGAAAATAAGAAAAAGACATGGTAACATGAAATACTATATACACAAGTTCTATAAAACTACAGTACTTTATTATCTGCATCAGCTGAAAGAAGAATTGTAAAAAGCCCATGTGATACAAAGCCAGTTCTGAATGAAGAAATAAGAAAAATGTATTTGCATCTGCAGGATGCATGTACATGGGATATAGGGGAATATACTAGTAATCATAGACTCTATTGTAACAAAGCCAAGTAGGCATAAGTAAACAAACTGTACCCAAGATCACACAGTAAAAGATTTGAGGTGGTAACACAAGTACCAGTTCTCTTGTCTTCCTAATACACTGCTGCATTTAAAATGTTTTACTTCCAATTTTTATATTTACCAACATTCCTGAATTTTAAACTTAAAAATTTAAACAAGTGAGAAGAATCACTTATTTTTTTTCTTATACGTTGTGCCTGACATACTTTTATTTTGAAGCATACAGTCATTTTGAAAGCACAAATATCTTTTTACATATACACATGTATTTTATTTTAACGCCCCAAGATTACAAATAAATTAGTGGGTATTACTTCAAACATTTTACCATAATGATACAAGTTTTGAAGACAGGCAACACTGAGGAAGTTAATTAATTTAGCTGGACTGTAATAGGAAAAAAACAAACAAACAAAAAAAACCCAGCTTTTCATTTTCTCTCTCTACCTATTTTCCTTTTCCCTCTTTAATACTTATTTCATTTGCACAGCTGCCAACAAAAGGTAAGTATGGATCCAGCCACACTCAGAACCTGCGGATAAGGCAAAGCACAAGGAGAGTTGAAGGGCATAGGAGCAACAGCAGCAAGGAGGGCTCCACAGTTAGAGCTTTAACTATGGAGCACAACATATTTCTCATCTAGACTTGCGAAAGTGGCTAATGTGGAAAAACAAAATACAGCAATCACAGATGACTTACAAAGGCAAAGCTGACAAATACTAAGCCTCTCAATCAATTGTTCTAGAATATGGTTTTCTTGCAACATGACTTTGAACATAATAAAATTACTCAGGAAAGCTATCTAAGAATCAAACAAAACATAAATAACACTGATTTGTTGACATATTTGTTTACAAAAATGAGTTTAGAAATCACTTTACATACATATTTTTACATTTCTAGTAAACTGCAAGATTCTGCCAAATATTAGTTGTTAACTTGAACACACAAACTTCACTGTTGCTTCGGAAAGGAAGACATCCACCCACCCACCAAATTCTGAAGAGGGTAAAAGAAAATTTGTAGCAATCACCTCTTGTTTTTGCTACTTCTAAACAGATGTACAATTTCTAATATTAATTCCAGTTAAGTCTAGGAAACCATAAGTCTAATAGTTTACCTCATTAAACACAAGTTAGTGGATCATCACACTATAATAATTCCCAAAATTAAAATACAAGAATATCAAGTTTCTTTTAAAAAAGGTACAGTAGTTTACAACCATTTGAATAGCATAGGTCTTATAAAGTTTATATATTGCTTGGTTGCTGTTTCAAAACATTTTGTTTAGATAAATGTCTCTGACAATGCAATTATGAAATGGCTTAGTGGTTTTTCTATCTTACAGTATTCTCTAATCAAAACACTAATTGCTTTTTTACACTCAAAAGATTTTCTTGCAAATGGAAGAAACACCAAAATCAACCAATTTGTGTCTCACTTTCCCACTTTTTAATTGCTATATCTATAAAAAAAGAGGTGAAAAGAGGCTACATCTTACAAATACTTCCAAATAATCCAACTGTCAAAACATGTTAATTCATACTATTAAATAAATAGTTATGTTTTTTAGGCAGGCTGTTGGATTCAAGGTGCTGACTGGTCTAATAGACAAGTATCTTCATAGATCTGTGCATAAGTTTTACAGAATATCATTAGAATTTCAGATTACAATTTCTAGATCCAATCACTTCTCTCTTTACATCTTTGAAGCTTCTTAGTTTTCAGCTGTTAAGCCATCTCTCCCTTATACACTCTCTCTCTTGTCGGTTTCTACCAAAAAGCAGTATCATTTAATTGCACTGGTCTTTATGCTTCCACTCCTTGTCCTCTGCAAACCAGCATTCAAAGCTGCTGCACTGGTCTTTCCTCTTTCTGAATGCTTTCTTTTGAAGGTACCTAACGCCTCTGGAGCAGAGGCAAACACACACAGTCAAAGCGTGCTTGTACAGAAGGTTCTATTCCTTTATGGGAAACTTTGTGAAAAAAAATGTAAATATGACAGTGAAATGAAAATCATTACCAAACAACAATTAACCAAAAATTAAAACATTTTATTTTCTTTTATATTTCTTTCATATTTTAACATAGATTATTTTTTTTCTCCACCATCTGTGGTATCATGCATTGTATACAACTCACAGTGTATTTAATACAGAAACAACACACAGGCCTTGTATGTAAGAGTTGTCTTCTGGGACACCTAGAACCTCAGAAAACATATGAAGTGCTACTGAGTCCAGGCTCATTCTTTTGGAAGAGGTACTGTGTCATTATGTTTTCCAGTAAGAAATTAGATTAGATTAGACTAACATGGAATTTTAAAACAAACTAACTAGCTCTAATTACAGTTTAGAAAATGTTTTATATTAAGAGCTTTGTTCAGATCTGCAAAAAAAAACTAAGCAAGCAGTCCACAATGAAGTACTCTACAGGCAATTTAACTGTTTGAACTGTTATACTCCCAAGGCACAGAGATTGAAGTAAAAATCCTCCCTGGAAAAAGTCTGTTATTTTTAAATATCGACAGGTACTCAGTACTGACATCAACTGGATTCTCAATTTCTCTATATGTTTCACTTCACTGGATGAAGTTCTTTTTTGCTCTCAGTTAGTTTTTTGCAAAAACTAGAAATTTACTGAAATGGACAACCATCAAAATTTGCTTCTAGTAATGCAGTTATTGCCAGATAAAGAAAGCTTTACGCCACATCACAGACCACTTCTCTTGAAGATGCTGACATATTTAAAAAACAGTCACTTATTAAGCCTGAAAGAGCAGTATCAAATGTACTATGGTGTTGTACATACCAGAAGTGAATCTTTTATGACACAGGCCACTTTTTCCAAAGAATTTATCTGAAGGGATATCAGCTGGTCTAAAAGATTTAATGTAGCACTTTCAAGGCTTGGTAAGTGACGATGCCAGAGGCTGAATATAGCTGCTTCAGAAAGGGAGATCTTCTTCCTAGTTTAGAGAGAAAAATAATTGTTTTAACCGTGAGAAAATGGAAGACACACAAAAATATTCATTTTATTTTTTTCTTTCTTTCTTTTAAGCACACTTGAGAAAAAGAAGATCAACTTGAAGTAAAAGAGAAAATCTTGTTTACACTACTCTATTTGGTAATGATAATGATATTTTAAATTTTATCACAATTCTTTTCATTGTTTTTGTGGTGGGATCATGAATATTATAAATACAACATCAAGAAAAGAAATCTAAGGTATTAGAGGTGTTCCAACTCCAAGATTTAAAAACCATACCAGGAGCAAACTGTAGTCATTATAATAGAATCACATTAGACTCTCTGCTAAAACAGGCTCCCTACAACTAGGTTGAGCATGAAAGCCTCAAGGCAGGTCTTGAATATTTCCACAGGAGAAGACACCACAGATTCTTTGGGAAGCCTTTTCCAGTGCACTCTGATCCTCACAGTAAAGAAGTTTTTCCTCATGTCGGTGTAGAACTTTCTGTGTTCCAGTTGTTGCCCATTGTCCCTTTTCCTGTTGCTGTACACCCTTGAAAAGAGCCTGGCCCCATCCATTTGACTTTCATACTTCAGATATTTATAAACATTGATAAGATCACCCCTCAGGCTTTTCTTCTCCAGGCTGAACAGATCCAGGTCTTTCAGTCTTTCTTCATAGGGGAGGAATGACAGAACATGCAAACAGTCCCAGTAAAACAAAGCTAAGTTCTATGGAGAATGAATTATAATTTTCTCCCTAGCATCCAGCGAACATATTTCTTGCAGAAGGCTTCACCAGTACTCAGGAATGAAAGTGTGTCCAGAACACAATGACAGAGTGAAGAAACACATAATTTAATAACTTAAGTGGGAAAAAAAATAAAAAATAAAAAAAAAACAACCACCAAGAACATTCATCTTATGATGAATTAAGATCACATGAATTTCAGAGTAAGTCAAGAGTATACTACAGAAGTGAGTAGTGAGCCTACATCTGCTATCAAGGAAATCAGAAACTTTTTGATAGGGGCACTGTAAGAGGCGTTCTGTTAAAAGGTATATGAATTGAATTATTTTTGCTCACTGTGATAAACAAGGAGCTCAAAGGTTAAGCAATGTTTATTTTAATCAGGAAAACCTTTTCTAACAAGGTAAAGGATTCATACTTGTATTATGAAGTAGCAAAAGTATGTCATGACTGACTGCCTGTTATCTCACTGTCATCAGTAGAGACTACCAGTCTCTACTTGGTGAACCAGTATGCTTGTCTGTATACTGTTTATGGAACATTCTGAAGATATGGAATGCAAAAGGAAGATCACTCTTTTTAGGGACCCATCTTTATTACAGATCTTCACATTTGTTTTCCACTTGTTTTCCCTGAATGCTAGGAACATATGCACAAAGCAGAAAATATCCTTTTTCCACTACTTATTTATGTTTGCTGGAACCTCTGGGAGTAACAATATATACAATAATCTTTATTGGAGCATCTCAAAAATAAGGTTGAATACAGAGGGAGCAATTAAAACTTTGACTTGAAAGAAATGTGCACGTATAACTGAAGTAAAGTGTCCACGAAAGATCCTTTCTATTACAAAAAACAAATCTGTAAGACATAATTGCAACTTCATAACAGCTCTTTTGCAATTTTTGTGTGTTTTTTGTTTTGTGTTGTATTTTCCTAGCACTAAGTAATCTTTTATTTGTCCCACATGAAGATTGTCAAGTTCTCAAAAAATAATGTCAGTCCTATAATAATGAGCACTGCACAAGTTTGATACCCTTGCACCCACATTCTGTGTTATTTAGCAAATGTGTTGTAACATCCAGTAGCTTCAGAAAGTTACTTCTCATGACTTCCATTCAAACAGAAGATGCCAGTGACATCTAACTCAAGGACAGAGTGTCATTTGTAGGGATTTAGAGGAATTTCCTAGCTGACCAAACGTGACACAGGTACGCAACAACTCTGACTCAAAACAAAACTCAAAACCACCCTTCTCAGCTGCAAGTTAAATAAATCAAATCATCTTTCCTTTCATGGCATAGGCAATTTTTCAAAAGTTCACCTTCACTCAGGTGACTTATATATGACTTATATACGACTTATATATTAGCTGATTGCCAATAGCAAAACAAGCAAAGCTATATTTCAAAACTGTGTTCATAAGTCTAATTAAAAAGAATCTACTGAAAATCAGCAAAATCGAAAATCTACATAATCACTCAACCACTCAAACAAGGCTTTATCTTATGAATAGAATAAAGTTAAACGTGACTCCCGAAATGTTAAGTTAGGAATGTGGATACACTTACATTAAAGGTAAATAATGTTTCAATGGAAATTGATAGTACCTTTCACCAGCTTACTAAAATCCTAAAATGTAATTTACCCTCCATTTTAGAGGAATGATGTGACGTTTCAGTTGATATTTAGAACTGTTATGCCACAATTGGAATACAAAGGAGGGTTTTTTTCTTTTGTTGTTGTTGTTGTTGTAGTTGTTTATATAGGAGATATATAGTGCATTCAGCATTCAAATCCAAAGAAAAACCATTTCACTCAATAGATAATCTTTATAAGAAAAAGCAGAAAAAACATATGGACCGTACTACTTACTTTAAAAGGGCATCATTCACAGCTTCCAAGAACTCTGAGCTGAGAATTTCTTTTGATGCTCCTCCATGGTAATCAAGAAGAGTTTCCAGCAATGGAGTTAAATCAGGCAAAGTAATTAGTGGGATACAGAAAAGGGACACAGCATTCACATGACTGACAGAAATTCTGAGGAAAAAAACAAATACAGTTCCCATTTTAGAAAAGTTTAAACTTTAATTTCTATATCCACGAGGTAAATGAATATTAAATACAAGAGATGCATACTGTTGACTTATCATGATATATTGTCTAGAAGTCTCATAGAATTTTGATATTTTAGTGGTCAAGGCATACCACGTGAAGAACATTAGCCCAATTCTGAAGTGCAGACAGTCATATTTGCTTAGTAATCGCCAACTTCCTGGCATAGAATTCTTTGTCCCTTCCAGGAAGCAGCAAAGCAGAGGTAAAGAAGACTACAATTTCACAGCTTCTGTGTAAGTTTGCTAGATTCTAGGAAGAGACAGCCTTGCTGCTTTTAACACCTCCTGTTGCTTTCTTATCCTCTCTTCTCTTAATGTACAGCTATAAACCAAATCCTGCTGTCTCTAAATATTCAAGAAAAACTATTTGTCTTACAAATATATACTTGAAGGAATACTTGAAGGAAATAAGGACTATCAATCTTTATATATGAACTATTCACATGACCTGCTAAAATCATATGCTTATAAATAGCAAAAGATTGCGATACAACTCGCAAGCCTAAAACGTCATTTATGAACAATGGAAGCTAATTGTGACACAAATGCTACGATTTGTAGATAATCATAGTGATACTCACAGTGAGAGAAATTAAAGATGACATGTTTTCAAAGACTCAATTTTTTATTAAGTACTAATAAAAAAAATCTGCTTAAGATTTTTCATACTGAAATACTTTTAGACAAAGTTTTGCTATGAGAAGCAATTCTGTAGAATGATAATTACTGGACTGATATTTATTCTGCAGAAGTATTTTCCAAGCTATATATGTAAAGTTCACATACATTGGGCACTTTTTACATCACTCCCCTTTACAAAATTCTGTTTCTAATTCCCTATTCAGGATTAGCAAAATAGCTGCTTACTTTACCCTTACTTTAATTCTGGAAGAAAGCCTTGCAAATACGTTTTTTCCTTCTCTGCATTAGCTTCAAAATAGGTGTGTTGTTGAAGAATACTGTGCAGTGCAGTCCACTGTGTGCAATGAATTTCATAAAATAGATTTACGTTGGAAAGGACCTTAAAGATCATCTAGTTCCATCTCTGCTGCAATAGGCAGGGACACCTCACAGGACCCCATCCTTTTGGGCAACAAATCCACAAGTGCGGAATCCACAGTTTCACTGGGCAGTCTGTTCCAGTGCCTCGCCATCCTGAACAAAGAATTTCTTTCTAATGTCTAGTCTAAAGCGAAATGCAGTCATTTAGCTTAAAGCCATTGTTCCTAGTTCTTTCAATACATTTCTTGGTAAGAGTTCCTCACCAGCTTACTTATAGGTCCTCTTTAGGAACAGGAATGCCACCACGAAGTCTCCTCAGAGCTTTCTCCAAGCTGAATAGAGCCAACTCTCTCAGACTGTCTTACTAGCAGAGGTGGTTCAGCCCTCTGATCACCTTTGTGGACTGCCTCCAACAGGTCCATATCCTTATGCTGGGGATCCTATAGCTGAATGCATTACTCCAGGTTGGGCCTGACAAAAATTTCCCTCAACCTGTAGGTCACACTTTTTTTGATGCAACCCACGACACAGCTGACTTTCTGAGCAACAAGTACACATTGCCTACTACTTACACTTGAGGAATACCAGTGATCACTGGTCTCCATTTGGACATGGATCGATTAACTTCAGTACTTTGGGTACAGCCTTCTAGCCAACTTGTTATACACTGAGTTGTTCATTCACCAAATCCGTGTCTCTCAAATTTATTCAGTGTCAAATGCTTTGCCCAAGTCTGGGTAGATGGCATCAGTTACTCCTTCCTTAACCACTAATGCCACCCACTGTAGAAGGCCACAAGGCTTGTCACACATAGTTTTCCCCTAGTGAAGCTATGGTGATTGTCACCAATCACCTCTTTGCTTTCCGTGAGCCTTTGTATAGCTTCCAGGAGGATATGCTCCTTGATCTTGTGAGGCACAGAGGAGAGAGTGCCTAGCTTGCAGTTGCCTGGGACTTCCTTTTTCACTTTATAGAAATGGAGTTTAAGTTTCCCACCACTGAACTGCCACAACTTCTCGAATATGAAGGATAGTGGCTTAGCAACTTGATCTATGACTTCCCTCAGGACCTGCAGATACATCTCATTGTGTCCCACCAACTTGTGCACCTTCACACCTTAGGTGGTGTCCAACTTGATCTTCTGTACTGAGTTGTTCTTAATTTTCCCTGCCCCTGCCTTTGCCTTATGTGACTGGATGGTGTGACTAGAGCACTTACAGGTGAAAATCAAGGCAAGAAAGTTTCCACAGATATTGTCCATGTTGCTGTAAGAATCACTAAGCAGAGAAATGAAAGCATACACACCTCCAAATACAAACTACATTTGTCTCTGCAAAATGAATAAACGTATCATATCCAAATCTACAAGTTCAAACTTTTCCTGGTACAAATCAGATAATCATATTCCAACAGTCTCATTAGTTTTGCAGCTTAGTCTTCATTGTAAAACATGGGTATTTGTTTTCAACACTGAACAAAACTAATAAGCCTATGTGACTGCAGTACAAATTATATTTAAATAAATTAGGTCATTTATTCTTTTTTACAAAAACATCTAGGTAAGTGTGGAAAATAGCCAAACAAGAAATACAGAAGCTATGACACAATGAAGATCTTTCAAACACCTTCCTCTTTCCTGTAATTTTACAGCCTATGTGATATTACACAGGTAATAAAACTCATTTCATCAGTGTCAGCAGATTTGAGTCTGAAGAACAAGACAGTATACACATCAAGGCCATACATTTCCCTTTTTTCTTATTTTTCAGCCAGAATACACAGAATTTACAAATAGTCAGAAAGACAGATCTACCAATGTAGTGCAATAATTTTTGAAGAATTTATGAAAGATTATGATCTGCATTTCAAAGCCAGTGGAGAAAAACAGTTATGCCTAAAATAGTAGATTTAGGAAATTCCATTTCAGAGACTTTGGCTTGACCTACTCTATCTAAATAGTGTGGATGAAGAAAGTGATTTTTCTCATTGACTACATCTAGATGTGTAGAAACATAATATACAATGCAGCAAGACAATTGTTAGCACTGCCTGATAATCAGCATTGGAGATCTGGCCAATGCGTATCACACCTTCCTTCCCACCCACTTTCCTAGACTTTCTTCCTCAGAAAGGAGGAGTAAGTTATAGGGTGGAAACACTAAGTGCTTGGGTTCATTTAAAACATCTGTTTGCGTAACATACTGTTGTGCCAAGTACTACTTGGTACCAGACAACAGATCTAATAATAGAAGGAAAATGAGGGAGCTAATTTCAAATGAGCATGGGCACATTTTCTCATTAAAAACAAATGCAACATTTTTCTGCCATATGAAACTATTACACACAAAGGCAAAAAAGAATCCTTTGAAACTTTTTTTTTTGCTCTTACAGTAACTGCAAGTTTGGCTATAAGAAGTTAAATAGTAAACATGATGATTATCAGGTAAGTTTAAATTCTTACGTGAAGCATAATTTAACAAGCTTCTTCATACCTGAAACTATCTACACGAGTAACTAAAGTTAGCTGATGCCTAAATGCTTGCATGCTCAAGACTACAAAAAGGTCCTCGTTGAACTAGTGACTGAAATTAAAGCATATCAAAATGATATATGGATAACACTTACCTCCCCTGAATGTTAAGTTCATTAAATTGATTTCCCCTGAGTTCTGTTACTAATGAGGAGACAATCTGTAAAAAAAAAATAAATTACATGAAAAAAAAACCACACTCCAGATAAGCAGACATCAGTTGCATGATTAACTTTCCATTTTGACTCAATCGTAGTTTTTTAAGTTACCGAGCCCAAGTTAAAACTGTCCACATCATTGAATAAACCATTCAAAACATTTCTGAACACATTCTATACCTTCCAGATTTGCGAACTAACAAGGTATTTTAGCTCTGCTAAGAGCTGAGGCAAAACTTTTCAGAAGTCAGTGATTTTTAGATGTTTCCCCTGATTCAGACTATTATCAGATACTATTCTGTTTTTTAATATATCAAACATAAAAGACACTTTTCTTAAGATTTAAGGCTCATCTACAATTTTGAATGCTCTGCATGCAGTCAAAGAAAACATTCAAAATTTATGTTCTAATGCACAATATATATACAATTTAAACTTCAGAGGGAAAAAAAATGAATGGTAGGACATTTTGGCCATAACAGAACAGGAACAAAATGCTTTATCAACCTCTACTCAACTTCTATTTCTGTAATCTAATAAAAAAAATTTTGTTCTGTCCAGAGATTAATTTCATTTCTCCCTTAAAAGGCTGCAAAAGTAACTGAAGTAAGAAAGATAAGCAAAGTTCAGTTCATGTTCCTTGTAACATTGACAACTCCATGTATGTGCTTATAAACTGGTGCTACTAATAACAAAACCTCAATTGTACAAAATACTTACATTTTCAACCAGGTGACAATAATAGTCCGCTGATGTGTAGCCAAGAGCTGATATGAATGTACTGGTTTCAGCCTCATTTCTTTCCCATTTAGAAGAAGAAAGGAGATGGCACAGTAAGCTCTGGAAGAAAGGAACAGAAGGGCAATGCAAAGAAGTATTAGGGTACAGCATGCTTAGGTAACAGTGTTCTAATTGCACAATGGTTTCCAACTCCAGCCTATTTCCAGTGGTACATCGATTGGTGCAGTGCCACTTCAGCTGGGCTACTGGCCCATTACCTTCATAGAGGAGCCCTCTCTAATTCTTTTGGAACAATCTAAAAGGCTTTTCCCTGCTGTTTTCTGAAGTGACAATATTACCAGCCTTCGCTCTCATGCAGAATTCCATCCCTTTCTCCCATCAAAATTAGTTTTAAGCTCTGCTAATCAGTCCATCTTGTGTGCCCAGGTGACCAAGAGGGGCAATGGCATCCAGGAACATTAGAAACGGTGGCCAGCAGGAGCAGGGAGGTAATCATCCCCCTGAACTCAGCACTGGTGAGACCACACCTTGAGTACTATGTTTTGGGCTCTTCACTACAAAAAAGACACTGAGGCCCTGGAACCCCCCCCTGGTGAGGGGTCTGGAGCACAAGTCTTATGAGGGGTGGCTGAGGGAGCTGGGATTGCTTAGTCTGGAGAAGAGGAGGCTCAGGGGAGACCTCAATGCACTCCATAACTTCCTGAAGGGAAGCTGTGATGAGGAGGGGCTTGGCCTTTTCTCCCAGGAAACAAACAGGACCCGAGGAAATGGCTGCAAGTCGTACCAGAGGAGGCTTAGGTTAGAAATAAGGAAGAGCTTTTTCCCTCAGAGAGTGGTCAGGCACTGGAATGACCTGCCCAGGGAGGTGGTAGAGTCACCATCCCTGGCAGTTTTTAAGAGGTGTCTGGATGAGGAGCTACAAGATATGGTTTAGAGGCTTGTGGTAGCAATGTCAATGGGAGGACAGTTGGAGTAGATGATCTTGCCAGTCCATTTCCAACCTTGTGATTCTATGATTCTACGATTCACCCAGAACTCTTGCTCCTCCTGGTCAACTGCATCCCATGCCTAATCACAGAAGCCAAAACCCTGGGTGTGGCACTAGCCATGAAGTCCATCATTCTCCTGATGTGTTCACCCCTTCTTTCCAGGAGCTAGCCTCCATCTGGGAGGATACAGAACACTATCTGCGCAACAGATCCCTCAAGAGTTTTTCTGAGGAACCTAAAGTCTCCCTGGTATTTCGAAGTCTCTTGATTGCAGCTTCCTGAAACCTAACTTAAAAGGGCAGTAATGGGTAGTGGTCCTCCAGTTGTACTAAACATGTTAACCTTTCCTTGATATCCTGGCAAACAGCAAATCTCACTAGAGAGACTGTCCAGATTGCAAATGAGTACCTCAGTACCTCTCAGCAAGAAATTCCCATTTACTAACATCCTTCACAATTTCTGGTAGTATTAGTTCTAATATGTGTGCTTGGTTCACCAACTCAATGTGGTCATCCCTTTATGGATCTTGACCACTACCCATGCCTTCTCCTCTCTCCAAATGCAAAGCCTCATATCTTTTCTACAGGGGCTCTTCAGGGCTAAGTAAGAGAGACTCAAGTACTGAACAAAGACAAGAGTCCTGCCTCCCTCATCTTGAGTGTTGTTGCCACCTGTTTTCTCAAGCTACCTTATTTTCCTTCTCTTGCAGGGATTTAGGGCAGTCAGTTTGTCCATATAACTGCACAATACTACATATCAATTTCAGATTCCCATTGTTATGACTGGTGATTCCTCTCTTAGTACGACCACTTGCTTGAAAAGTTTGTTGAGTTGGGCACATTTACACCAATTACACTCCAATCTGCTCTTAGGCTCTAGTGAAGACTTCCAGATTCTAAAGCTTCCCTCAAACAAATGCCTGAGCTGCTCTGTTGCTCCTTTGGAGCTCTGCGTGGGTGTGCATATCAGCCTAGAAAAGTTGTGCTCCTTCTGTCTGGGTTTCTATCTCAGCACGGCAGTAGTAGCAGGTGGGCAATATTCTTGTTTCAATAGAAGGAATTAGAATAAGTTGTATTCCATGTGTGATATATTAACACGAGAGAAGATACAATCAGCAAAAGCACACCAGAGTTACAAGAAAAAATCACCACAAAAACAAATAACAAGCACTTGGACATATTATTTATTCTACTTTCATATGGGATTGTTCTAGAACCTTACAGACTTATGTTAAATGTCTAAATATTGTCTTTCAGTCTTGTTTTTTCCTGAATAGCCTGAGCTAGGAGAAATTGTAGTTCTACCGCCACCTAGTGACTACTCTGAAATTAAAGAAGTCAGAAAGGGCTGTGAGATCACAGTTTCAGAAGTAACTCAGAAAGTAATGTCTGCATTCTTAACAAAAAACATTTAAACGGGGATTTTCAAAAAGTACACATTTCTAAACATGATTAAAAATTCTAAAATCTATTAAGTTGCACAACCTCCAAACATGTCTTGATTAATTTATTAATATGGAACCAAAAACTGTATTATATTCCATTGCAACTATTAGTCAAGTTAGCCTTTGCTTTCAGAACACTATCAAGGGTTCAGTCAAGTAGGTCCTACAAAGCAGTATTTCTTGCTTGTTGCTTGTTTGTTTTGCATGCCTTTGATTTGTTTTCCACATCTTCCTTTTCTGTGCACATCACTACATTCCTCAAGGGATTTTGTAGATGAGTTTTTTTTTAATACATTAAACCTCCGAGTAGCCCAAAGGAGGCAAAGGAAACAGGGTCAAAGAGATGCTGTAGTCAATATGAAAAGAGGTATATGAAAGAGATATATAAGAGGTACATGAAATATATAAAATGAGATATATAGAAGAGACTTAGGTACTAAAAGGTGAATAAAAGGTGATAAACATTAAAAATACAACTCCATGTCTAAGATACTTCATATTACAGGCTGTGTCACCAGTGCAAAGCCAGAGAGATACTTAAATGCAACTAAGATAACAAATTTGGAAACAGTAAAGCATTTATCTTCATGTATTTGGGTTTAAATGCAAAAATGTTTTGGTGCAAAAGATGTCTTAATTTCAGCAGGGATGGGCCTGTTTTCTTCAGAGCATCTGGTATGATGCTATGTTTTGGTTCTAGGAGAAAACAATGTTGATAGCACACTGATACTTATAGTTGCTGCTAAGCAGTGTTGCACAAAACAAGGCTATTCGCAGCAAAGAGCCGAAGGAGCTGGGAGAGAACAGAATTAGGACAGCTGACTCAAACTGGCCAAAGGGATATTTTTTACCACATGACATCAAGCAGAAAGAATTTTGAAGGAAGTGGGAGTTCACTGCACCCGCTCCTTGGGGACTAGCTGACTAGTTGGTCAGGAGGTAATGAGCAATTGCTTGTGCATCTCTTCTTATATACATTCATATACATTTATATATATATATGAATATATATGAATGTGGGAAATATATATATATGTATATATATATTCCTTTTCCCTATCTTAGTAAATAGTTCTACCTCAACTTCTTTTTTTCCTGATTGTTTCTCCATCCCACTGGGAAGAGGGAGTAGCATGGGAGTGACTGTGGTGCTCAGCCACCTGCCAGGTTAAATCACAACGAATGTCCAGAAAATTTTCCTCTCGAGAAAATGTAATTTATTTAGTACACTTAACTCTGTTTATACATAATGACTTATTACACCTATATATTTCATTAGCATAGACAGGTATGAAAGGAAGCAAACATTCACAGAATACTTCTACATCTCCTAAGGAAGATTGTTTCTTGAAAATGTGATGCTTTAAGTTATTCCATCAATTCATCTTGTAACAGCTCATCTGTACACAAGTACAAAAGACAGGAAGGGGATTGATATCAGCCAGAAATCTAGCTTATAATTAAACTAAAAGGCAATTATATTTGTTGTCTTTATCTCAAGCCTCAAAGTTCACAGAGAAGTGTCTAAATTCCAGTGATTCTCAGACCTAAAAGAAAGTATCATTAGTTATTTCACACCATGCTTCAGAATGGGGTTAGAACCAGACAGCTGTGAGACTGAGTAGTTTCTTACATGTATGCTTCTCCTTTCACTACCAAAATAAACTCTTTGAGAAAATATTATAGAGAAATTTAGAACATTTTGGAGGATTTTGTCAAAAAGGTTCTTATAGAATGCTGGAAATACTGAGAAGTCATAATAGGTTCCATTACTGTATTACAAAGCCTACAAAGCATTATGAAACTAACAAACATAACTATGTAATAGCTACTGCGTGGAATCCTGAGATCAGAGGTCAATGATTTAAGACTAATCAGGTTTAAGAAACAATTTGAAACCCAGCAGAAGGTACTGAAGAATATGATGGGATGTGTCAACATTAAATGCAGCCTTATGCTCATGGTCACAGTCATAGATTCTAATCTAATTCAACAAAGAATGCAATTTGAGATTTACACAATTGTGCATTATTTCTGGCAGTAAATCAATTCACACTCACTTTTCTAAGTCACTAAAACCATATTACACAAGGCAGAAAAATAGATGAATCTCTGGCCAAAGTGTTTCATTAAGGTGTCACAATTCTGGAAAATTATCATCAGTCAGGCATATTTGTGATATCAGTAATTCTTTCTTTCTGTTCTAGCTCGATTTCCCTCATCATTGATTCAGTAGGACACAAAAGAGGAAATTATCTTAGTTCTACTTGCAATCCACAGCCTTGGATTAAAGTTCTGTGGCTGTTCCACTACAAAGGGAGGTCTGCTGCCTCCTGGGAGCCCAGGTTAAGAGAGGTAAGTAAGAAATTTCCTTCCCTAGTATGGCCCTCAGATTGTTATTCCCTATTGCTGTTTCAGGTAGGCAGTGATGAAATAGGAAGAGCTTCCCTAGGGACTATGAAGAAGGACTTCAGAGCCTTGGGGAGACTGGTCAAGGATTTGGGAACACAAGTTGTGTTCTCTATCCCTCTAGTTATAGGGAATGAGGAGACACTGAACATGATGGACCAATGGATAAATACTTGGCTCAGAGCCTGGTGTGCCTGGCAGGGGGTTGGGTTTTTGGATCTCAGCTCAATTTACATGAGACCAGGCCTGCTGGCATTCAATAGAAATAGCTTATCCCACCAGTGGAAAAGGGTTTTATGATGGGAACTGGGAAGGCCATCCCTGGTGGAAATGGGTTTTACAATGGAAATTGGAAAGGTTCATTGATTGAGCTTTAAACTCAGTCAATGAGGGGTAGGGATGGGGGTGAACCTGGGGTCAGTAGAAAGGAGCCTATATGTAACATGCCAATGCTTGTGGGAGGGGGACATGCTAGTAAGATCCCACAGTCTTGTGTCTTGGTGATTGGTGAAGGAGGACTCACCTTTTTGTAGGAAGACTATGGAAACACCTGAGTATGGTCAAGAGGGTATTAAGACTTCTCCCACTCAAAAGGTGGCCCAGCTCAGGCACATTTATATTAATGCATGCAGCATGGGTAACAAACAGGAGGAGGTGGAGGCCACTGTGTGGTCGGAAAG